GATCTGCCCGTGCCTGGATGGGACCAGCCGTGCCCCTTGAGCGTGCTGGGGGGGTGGTCTGGGGAAGCCAAGCTGCAGCCCCATGTGACCCCCCCCTCCCCCTGCCTCTTCGCTGTCTCCTAGGGGCTCACGGGAAAGCAGGAGGTTTTTACGACCTCGACCACGACCACAAACACACTGAGCTCAAGGACCCTGCAGACCTTCCCCCTGGAGGAGCTGCTGAACAAGGCCGCAGAGGAACTGCCCCAGGGAGTGGACCCCAGCAGGAAGGAGGTGAGAGGGGGGCTCAGGGGCCATGCCCACACGTGTGTGTGTGTGTGTGTGTGCACGCATGCACGCGAACGTGTAGGAGGTGGTGAGGGGCCCACTGTGTGCAGGAGGCGGGGAGAGGGATGAATGCACATATGTGGGCAATGCACTTAGGAGGTGAAGGGAGAGGGGGAACATGCACATGTGTGTATGGGGGGCGCATACGTGTGTGTGTGTGTGTGAGGAAAGAGAGGAGAGGGTCTTGGTGTGCCTGCAGGAGGTGGATGTGTCCACAGGTGTATGTGGTAGGTAATGAGGGAGGCACAGTAGGTGTGTGCATATGCTGTGTGTGCACACATGGGTGAGAGAGACTTAGGGGTGTGTTTGTAGAAGATGGTGAGGGATTGTGTGTGTTGGGGGAGGTGGTGAGAGGAGCTTGGTGTGTGGGTACACATGTGTGTGTAAAAGGTGAGAGGCCCTGTGTGTGGGGGAGGGAGGGTGAAGAGAGGAGCTCATGACATGTACACATGTGCATGCACATGTGTGTGCATGTGTGTAAAAGGTGAGAGGGGCTTGGTATATATGTGTGTGTAGAAGAGGGTGAGTGACTTGGTGTGTGTGTGCACACGTGTGTAGAAGGTGGTGAGGGGTTGTGTATGTGTTTGTGTGTGGGGAAAGTGGTGAGAGGCGCTCAATGTGCACGTACATACATATACACGTGTGTGTGTGTGTGTAGGTGGTGATGAGATGGGCTCAGTATACATATATACGTGTGTGGAAAATGAGTGGAGCTTGCTGTGCATACACGTGTGGGGGGGTGGTGAGAAGGGCTTGGTGTGCATATACACACAAGCATCTGCATAGAAGTGGGTGAGGGGCTTGGTGTGCGTGCAGAAGGAGGTGAGAGGGGGCTTGGTGTGTGTGCGCACACATGCACAGCATGTGCATCGGACCCCGCCTCTCACCTCCATCCCCTGGTATGAGCTCTGCAGCCTCCCGGCTCACACAGCACCCCCAGCACCCACCCTTAACTCTGCTGTGCCTGCAGGAGCACCTGAGTGACCGGGACTTCCAGGACGTGTTCGGGATGTCCTGGGGTGCCTTCGCCGCACTGCCGCTCTGGAAGAGGCAGAAGCTCAAGAAGGAGAAGGGGCTCTTCTGAGGCGGTGCCAGCCCCTGAGTGCTTGGGGACACCGGCATGGGGGGCTCTGTCCCATGCTCCGCCGTGGCCCTCAAGGCGGCCGCCACCTCGCCCAGATGCTACCCAATAAATCCAGTGCACAGAGCAGGGCCTCAGCCTCCTCGCTCCCGGTGATCTTAGCTGCTGCCCCCGGTCCCCATGATCTCAGCCATGTTCCTCCCCCGTCCTGGTGATCTCCACGGGTCGCCCTAGTCCTGGCAATCTCAGCCGTGTCCCACACCCAAGACTTCAGGGGAGGTTTTGGCTTGCCCAGACTGCATTTGCATAGGACCCGCGTCTGGTGGGGGATCCTGGCTCAGGCAGAGGTGGGAGGGGGGAAGGGGGAGGTCTGGGTTGGGTAGGACGTCTGTGGCTGCTATGGCCTCTGTCCTGGGGGGGCTTGCGGTGGCACAGTTCAAAGCACAGGGAAGGTGGGAGTGTGAATCCTCACCCCAGCTCCGTTCCCAAGGGGCTGCAGGACCTGCAGTGTCCACGTTTGCTTGTGTGGGTGCTCACATGTCCCTGTCATGCGTGTGCCCATGAGTGGTCATGTACACGTCCATGCATGTCTGTGCATGTCCACGCCTATACATGTCCATATCTGTGTGTCTGCACGCGTGGGCCTGTGTGTATTCTTGTCTGTGCTTGTCCATGTTCAGGCATGTCCACATCTGTGTGCATCCATACATGCTCATTTCTGTGCGTGTCTGTGTCCACGCATATAAATGTATTTGTGTAGGTGTCCATGCATGGGCACATTTCTGTGTATGGATCCATGCACGTCCAAGTGTGTCCATGCCTGTGCGTGTCCATGTCTACACGTGTGCGTGTCCATGCTGGTCTCGCCACATCTGCAAAACTATGCTGAGCGCCCTAGAAGCAATCGCAGTGCTGCAGCAAGGTGTGGCGCGGGATAGGCCCAGGCCTGGCGAGGTGCCGCGGGTTCCCGGCTGCCTGTGCCAAAGGTCAGGGCCCTATATGGCAGCTGCACTTGCTGTTATCAGCAGAGGCCTCATAAAAGCCCCATAGAAATATTTGCAGGGTTGAAGGTGCCAGGCTGGGGGAGGAATGGGGGGTGGGGGGAGTTGAAGTGCAGCTGGTGCTTCCTCACTGCCCTTGACCCCATTGTCTGAGAGCCTGGGGGGGGGTGGGACCTGGGGCAGGCTGCACGCTTGACCAGCACATACAAGAGGCCTGTCCCTGCCCAGAGCAGCGTGTAGCTCAAGCCCTGCCAGCGGCTGCAAGAGGCTGAGCTGTCCCCTGGTGCCCACGTGGGAACGGGTACCATGCCCCATGAGCACCGAACTAGCCCAGAGGGAAGGAAGGAGGCACCATGGCAGCTGGTGCGGATGGTTTCTTTCCCCAGTTGCACCACGTCAGTAAACAGCAGCTGGCAATCCCTGTGCTGACACCCCATGGGTTTATGAGACCCTGTGATGCTTTTATTTTGTGTGTTCACAATTCCCTTCTTCATCCTTCACCTGCTCTTTGCCTTTTTGCTGGCTGCTGAGCAGAGCTGATACATTTAGTGATGTGTCCACTATGACTCCCTCAGCTCTTGGCTACGGCCAATGTAGAGTCCATGAGGAAGGGACCAGCTTTTCCATCCTAATGCCGAAACATCGGGGGCGGGGGGGGGGGGGGTTG